ATATATATATATATATATATATATATTTATTAATGCAACAATTAAAACTACCATGATGTTGAATTTGAAATTCAGACGATCAATCTCACGAGATAATCTCTTTTCAAAAAAAATATTGCAAGCCTAATAACCATCGAAGGTGGAATCATCAAATTGCCCGCTCGCCTGAAAAAGTGGTGTTTTGTGGTGTAATTTCTTTTCCAGTTATGACGTTTGATGATTTCCTTTCTATCAACAGAAAAAAAAAAAATCATTAGAGCTTCTAGTTTCAACTTTATTGATGAACATTATGACCCTATTTGCCTTCCAGAAAAACTCACGGAATACACTTTGATCTGATTTTGATGTTTTCTTTATGGGAGGGAGAATGAGGCAGATTCAGCAGAAAGAATTGAATCATACTCACGCTGGTTTTGTAGAAAAAACAAGATCCCAAAAAATATAATATGCTTTTGGGATTTACAATAATTACTAAGAGGATTGCTACTGACGCCACAGTAAAAAGAAGCGGTTCGATGTAAATTTTGATCGTTTGCATTAAAATTTTGGAAAATTTATGTGCACATCAATCCGTTCCTATGTATTTACATTTCTAACACCGAAAAAAGGAAATTTACATTTAGAACACCTATGAATCATAAGACCAAGCGGAACCGGGATGGCTAGGGAGCCCGTTACCCTAAATTTTCACCAAGTATTTCAATATCTCATAATACCTAAAAAATTTGCTCCATAATTTTAAATTGTTAGTAATAATTATATTTTTAATTTAATAATACTATTTATGATTGTTTTATATGTTTTCAAGAAGATGAAAAGTTTTGAACTTAAATAGTCCCTGCCTCTTAATTTTTTATTTCGTCAATCATCTTTTTAAGTTCTAATTTCACAAAAGCATAGATGTATGCATGAAAAGTTGTATTCCGCTAATACTTATTTGTTGTGAGAGGTGTGAATTGAGGGAACAAATTCGATAGATTCGAAGCTAAAACTTTTTAGTAGAAGTTTACAAAATAAGAAAATCATAGAAAATATAAGATTTAAGCTGAAAAAGGTTAAATAACGAAAAAAGGATCAGGAAGCCACAATACACCAATAAAGGTTAGTTTGGGGCAACTATAGCTTATGAAGAAGTTAGTGCGCTTCAACAGTGCTAGAAAGCTGCTGTGCAGAAGTTGCTATGGGAAGTCGTGTCTGTTTGTTTGTGCAGTGTAAAACACTCATTTATGATAACAAAAAACTTCTCTGTCATGGTTGCTCATTTCATACATGTAAACATAAACTCAGTTCATGGTTGCTCATTTCATACATGAAAATAGAAACTCATTTCGATTATTACATGAAAACAAAAACTCAGTTAAAATATTACATGATCAATTTGACACCTCACTAAACAGTCTGAAAAAGTCACAATTCTATGATTTATTCATTAGACAACTATAAAATTTTCTTGTAGCTATGTTCCTGTTGCGAAGTAAGCAGATAATATTGTAGTCAACAATAGTTGTACAATACTTTAGAGGCATCAGAAGACCTTGAACTCTTTTTTTCTGAATGTTTAAAATCACAAAGCACAAATAGTTAGATGCAATATTAGTTAAAACTAATATTAGAAATACAAAATTAAAGTTTTATAAAGCTGTGAGGTCTCGGAGCATAACATATAAACTAACAAATAATGTGTCACTAAAAGAAAACAATAGACTTTAAAAAAAATGGTTCTTTGTTGCCTTTAAATCATTTAATACGAAGCTTGTATGCGTCACAGAAGCATATCACCACAAAGGTCATCCAGAAAAACCTTAAGTCATATGATTGAAAAAGAATGTTATTTTGTTTTCATTTAAACCATAAATACCAAGATCGAATGTGTAACAAAACCATATCACCACAAAGGTGATACAGAAGAACTCTTAAAGTCATTCATGTCATGAAAAACCTGAAAAACTGCATGCAGAAATAATAAAAAAGTAATTTGCACTGAATCAAAATTCTACATGATATCATTGCATATATTGTCATTACAATAAACAATAATTATTTTGGCAACATATTACACAGATAAATAAAATGCAGTGCACAAAATCCTTTCACCCATTACTTAGTGCACTTGTAATTTGCTCTCAACTCCATCATCTCCTTAGCATCTTCCCCGTCCCGTGTACAAGAGTAACGTAAATCAGATTCAGCTTATGATATTGATTGACCTAGGCAATATGCTTTAGTGGAAACTTGTGATTGATTCTCTTCTACACAATTAAAATTAATGACACAACGTGAAGGATGCTGATGAATGTAGTTGCGGAGGGTCATCCTAGCGACCACAATCTTCAATTACATTCTATCATATTCTCTTCACGTGCTTTCCTTAAATTTTTTTTTTATAAATTCTCTCATGCTTAATAAAATAGTTCCATCTCTGTAAGCCAAAAATCACAAAATAATAGCTTCACCTCTTTATTCCACATGACAGACGAACAAATTTCTTTTGTCTTACCCATCTCGATTAATAGCATGAAAAGAGCTAACCAGCTTATATTTGTGGCAAAGAATAAAAATTTATCTCATCAAAATAAAAGCCATTTAAAATCCCACAACTGAATAGGTAACAAAAAAGAAACATCTAAAATCTATCAAGACACAACCACATCATCACAACCAATATACTACCACCAACACATCACAACCACCACCCCCCACGCAATTACCACCACTACCACCACACAATTACCATCAACATACCACTACAGCCTCACAATCGACACACTACCAACACAACACCACCACCACTATCTCCACACTACCACCAACACACCACCATCACCACTACCACTACCTCCTCACTTACCCACAACACACCATCATCACCACCGCTAATACCACCAACACACCATCATCTCCACACCGCCAATACCACCAAAACAACAATACCATCACCCACCATCACAACACAATTACCATCAACACATCGCCACATCATCACAGCCAATAGACCACTACCACTACACCACCATTATCGCCACACATACCATCAACACTACACCGCAAAATTGTTTCCATCACTACTGCCACTATCATCAACACACCACCATCATAACTACCACATAACCACTACCCCGCTGATACATAACACCACCATCATAACTACCACATAACCACTACCCCACTGATACATCAAAAACATATGCATTTTTAGACCCATATTTTATACTTATTTTTGGTGATATTGCACTTTAATGGAAGATATTTTTTATGTTTTATTGTAGGTTGTTGATTTTTAGGACTTGGAGCAAAAATGAAGCAAAAAGGATGAAATTTTAAGTCAAATTGGACAATTTAAAAAAATGCCCAGCGCTGACGACGACAGATTGGGCGCCGACGACGCTATACTGGGTGCCGACGATGTCGTTTTATAGAGAAGGCATATTAAATTAAATGGCCTCTGGCGCCGACGGCACCAGAATGGGCATCGACGGCGCCAGTGTCAATGCAGACCCTGTTTCTAGAAGATTCGATGAATTTGAACGCTTTTTCAAGAGTTTTTGGATGCATCTATTGAGGAATCGACCCTAAGCTTTATTTAGGGCCAAAATTTGATTTGAAACCCCCCTTCGCACCATTTCACCTTATTCCACTCACTTAGTTTTTCTCTTCGCATGCCTAACACACCTACATTTGACACCATTCCACACTATTAGTTAGTTATTGTTTTTATAGTTTTGAGATTTTGTGGTGAGTTTAAGTATGAATTCTTCTCTAAGAAGTGTTTGAGAGGAAGAGAAGTGAGATATTTCTTATTTCTACATTTCCTAAGAGAGGCTACAAGGGATTTGCTTTGAAAAAGAGTTTCAGATAAGTGTTGTTTGTTTATTATTGTTGTATGAACTTTCTTTTATATATGAAATTTGTGTTTTGTTATATCTTTCTCATGAAGT